GTGTCACATGATAGAGCCGAAAATATTTATCCTCGAAAATATCGCCGAAATATTTCACAACCGAAAATTTTAAAGCCGAAAAGTATACTTTCATTGCAGGTTCGAATTACAAAATCCTTTCTTGCGCCGAAAGTTTTTAAACCGAATTTTACAACAGAAAAAATTTGGATCGAATAATAAAATCCTTTCTTTTTTTAGTCATTTTTTTTTTTTTTTTTCAGTTAGTCGTTTTACAATAAAATAAACCATTAAAATTTTTTTAAAATATATATACATATATCTTATACTGCTGAGTTAGGTGAGCATGATGATGTCATACTCCCCTAACGTCAAATAGCCTGCTGCTGGGGGCTTCAGTACATACATCGACTGACAAATAGCCTGACTCGCAGTGGAGTGCTGCTACATCGACTAAGGGTTTGGCATGGGTCAGCAACCTTTTCATTCATTATTCTTCGCTTTCCCTCATCGTTTTCTAAAAACGCTCAATTAATTGTAATTAATTAAGTGTATCTTTCGGTTGTAAACCATTTTAATGAATTTCGGTTCTAAAATCATTAATGACTTTCGATCGAAAATTCGATCGAAATTTTTTCGGTTCTAAAATCATTAACGACTTTCGATCGAAAATTCGATTGAAATTTTTTCATTTCTAATAATTTTTTTCGAAAATATTTTCGGTTGTGTAATAAATTTCTCATATTCGGTTCTAAATTGAAATTAGAGATTCGGTTGAATTATAGGACGCCAAAAATTGGAGCTGATACACTTATTTTCAAGAAGAATTGATGTTGTTTACTTTTTAAAATAAAAATTTAAATAATTGTTAGTTTGTTGTTGCTTATTTTTATTTTTTTCTCATTTTTATAACCTGTTTTTATTTTTTAGAAGAAGTTAGAACTAAAATGTTTAGTAAAATAGTTTTTTTAGTAAAATGTTTCTTTTTTAGTAAATTATTTCATTTTGTCATTAGTCTTTTTAAAACATAAAGCAAGTATTTGCTTTATTTTTTATAGCAGTTAAGAGGAACTAATCGCTTTTTTAGTAAGTTTAATTCATTTTCTCATACATAGGCTAAGATTTTTTTTAATAGAAAGAATAATGAGAAAAAATTTTATTTATGTATTTCATATGAAAAATTAAATAAAATAATTCTGTTATTTGTGGTCATGTAAGTTATATATATATATATATATATATATATATATATATATATATATATATATATATATATATATATATATATATATATATATATATATATATATATATATATATATATATATCATATATATCATATATATATATATATATATATATATATATATATATATATATATATATATATATATATATATATATATATATATATATATATATATATATATATATATATATATATATATATATATATATATATGTGATATATATATATATATCAGGCCTTGCGATAAAGCGTCGGGCGATTTGAATTTTACGTCGTCCAAGAGCGATTTTGCGTGTAGCTAGGGCTATTTGCGTCGAGTAAAAAAAGTTTTGTTTGAGTATGTTTAAAGATATTTTTAAGCGGAATTTTAATGAAGTAATTTACGATTATTTTAACTTTTAATTAAGTATTTTAAAAACCGCACGCAGTTGAAATAAAAGTTTGAATTTAAAAAAATTAAATATGCTCATTATTTACAAGTAGAAAAAATTAAAAAATTAAAAAAAAAGTTTAAATCTTTTAAGCTAACATTTAATTAAAATTATTCAGCAATAGCAAAGTTGTCGATAAAATTGAACAAAAATACTTTTTTTTAGTTTTAGATTTTAAACTTAAATAATTATTTTACGGGGGTTTGTTAGGTTTTAAAATTATTCCATAGATTTAAAAATATTTATTAACTGTTAAGGTGAGTTTCCACTCATCCGTTTTTCAACGGGAAAGGGAAAGGGAACGGAAAAATAATCATGTGAGCATGCGCAGTTTTCTTTCGGATAAATAAAAACCTTTATTACGCATGCTCACGTGATTATTTTTTCCTTTCCTATCCCGTTACCCTAGAAAAACGGATGAGTGGAAACTCGCCTTTAAGTAATTTCGAGGAAACATTTTAAAAATTTGTGAGGGCAAGTAAAAAAATAAAAAAGGAATAATATTAATACGTATTCTACTTGATTCAATAAAAAAGTACAGTTATTAAAATTTTTGTAAAAAGTAACTCAAAAAAATTACTTAAATAACAACGATCGCTTTTATGTTAAAAGTTACCGAAACTCAACGAAGCGTGCTCAAGAACAGCTGCTGAAAAATAGAACGTCAATAGTTTTTCGAATAATTTTTAAGAATAATTTTTAAAAATAACTTTTTCGCTGAAATATTTCTTTATACCTATAAGATTTCTATTCTAACATTTTATTTTATTTTACTAGAAATAAAATTCCTTGTTAACATTAAAAATCTATTCAAAACGTTCGTTTAAGTTTTTTATTAATACGAGTGATTGTGCTTATCAACCGCTTTATGAAAATAAATAAAAATAAATAAATAAATATTATATAAAATCGCGTGAAAAAATATTAGGTATTGCACAGTTTTTAATCGTTTAAAATTTTAAAAGTTAAAAGTTTAAAATTTCCAGTTTATTACTCGTTAATTACTTACGTTAATTATTTGAAAAACTTTAAATTACATATTTAAGAAAAAAAAAATCAAATATTAGCATATTTTATAATCTTTTTTGAATTTAAGTTATAATGTTTTTTATTCGTTTAGTATAGACAAAACGTGACAAACGTCGAGAAAATAACCAAATGTTTTTACATTTTAAAAAACGAAACATTTCAAAACATTTTTAAATAATAACATTTCTACATAAACGATTTAAAGTAGTTTTGCGGTAATTAAGTAAATTGGTGCAGTTAATGTCGATAAATATGAAAAGCAAATAAAAAGAATTTAACGACGTCAAAAATCACGTCGTGCTTATGCGTCGCGTAGATCTTATTCATTGCAAGGCCTGATATATATATATATATATATATATATATATATATATATATATATATATATATATATATATATATATATATATATATATATATTTATATATATATATATATATATATATATATATATATATATATATATATATATATTTATTTATATATATATATATATATATATATATATATATATATATATATATATATATATATATATATACATATATATATATATATATATATATATATATATATATATATATATATATATATATATATATATATATATATATATATATATATATATATATATATATATATATATATATATCAGGGGCGGATCTAGGCTGCAGCAATTGTAGCAATTGCTACAACCAGCTTAGTTGTCGTTTTTCTTTTTTTTTTATATTTGATATATACATTCTTTTTTTCATGCAAAAGAAGACTATAATTTTAACAACATAGGTTGCAAGTAGTGAAGACGCGGCGCTCCGAAAATTTATTCATAATTGTAGCTGAGCCAAATTGACTATCTTACGGAAATATTGCATTCAGAAATATAATAAAAAACCCAAGTTTTTTGGTTTTTGTCTTACATGCTCAAATATTTTTGTAAGAATGTCAAACATTTCGCAGCGTATTAACTTAAAATGGACTGGGAGTTAAATAAAAGGGCAAATCGACTGTAGCAACTATAGCAAAATTCAGGTTGTCATTATTTCAAACTATTCTATACATACCCCCTGATACTTTATAAAAATTATGCCTATTTATATGCAATTATTTTATTAACAAGGAGGTTTTAAGTTAGGACTAAAGGTCATCAAGCGAGAACCTGTAGCAAGTGTAGCAAAAAAACAAATATCTGCTTTGCTAAATCAAAAAATCTGCGTTAATTGATTTTTTTAATGAGTGCAATGAAGCTCTATCAAGCGTTAAAAGCAAACAACCATTCTTTAATTGATCAGATTAAGTTAAGTAACACTGCCAAATTAAACAGGCGCTCTCAGAAAAACTCTGATGGAATCTATATTTTATATAAATTGTCTGGTGGAGCCGGTGATTTTATGGATGTTGCAGCAAGTAATAGTTTGGCTAGATTGTATGCTGATAAACTTATAAACGAAGAAACATGTTCAATGGTGCCTGTCAGGTAAAATCTTTGTTATAGTTTTTTTTGGTGTCCAGCTGACTAACGCAATGGATGAATAGATATTTAGAATTTTTAGTCAGTGCTAGATTTGCTATATCAAAAGAACTTCTTGATTTATAGTCAAAAAATGTGTGTGTGTGTGTGTGTGTGTGTGTGTGTGTGTGTGTGTGTGTGTGTGTGTGTGTGTGTGGGAGTGTGTATGTTTGTGTGTGTGTATGTGGGTGTATTTGCATATAAATTTATTCTTATATCCAGAACTCCTCAAGATGGCAATTGTTTATTTTCTGCTGTCTCCATTGCTTTAATCGGAAACAATATGCTAGCAACAACTCTTAGGAAGCTTTGTGCAATCGAGTTATGCAAGAATGCAAATTTTTTTTGCTGTGCATCCTGTTTTTCGTCTGGGGCATTTAAATGGTGTTTTTCGATCAGAAAGATCCGCTTTCTTGTTAGTAATATCCAATGTTGCATGTACTGCATTCTTCAATAAATATTGTTGTAACTGGTGAAAAATGCCCTTCAAATAATTGACTTCTTCAAATACCTTGTTCTGCTGTTCAAAAAATTAGTTTAACCAAACCATCATTGAGTATTAAGAATTTTTTTTCTGTGAATAATAAACCTTTGGCAGTATCCAGTTCGTCTTCGGTTTTAAGTAATAAATTTGAAAAACCAATATCAGGAGTCGTAATTCCAAAGTTAAATGTAAATTGTGAAAATGCAACAACAGAAGATGATTGCAACGAATTTGATATTGGCTTGTTTGTAGACAAATGAGGGAAATTATCAAACCAAGAGAAGCGTAGTATTCTATTGAACGTATGGATACCACCTTCTGACTATGTTTTTCCTAAAAATAATGGTCGTAAATGTAACCCTGCTTGGTTCAAAAAATTTTCATGGCTCTGTTACTCAAAGTACTATGATGGGTTATTCTGTATATCTTGTGTTCTGTTTGGAAAGGCTTCTTCAACTAGTCAATTATTTCATAAATATCCATTTCGGTTTTGTTCAGTTGGAAATGTAAGAATAATATCATTTAATAACACTTCGCCAATGCATAAAATCTCCATACAAATAATGCTTGATTTCCAAGCAGTATTAGTAAAAAAACCGTTCCAATTAATTTGCAACTCAATAAATTTCTATCTGATAATATTTCTAGAAATCGGCAAATTTTGTTTTTAATATAACGTGCAATCCTTTTTTTGTTGTAGGCAGAATATATCACTTAGAGGACATCGAGATGATGCTAAACATCATGCTTTGCAATGTAATAATGCTGGTAATTTCCAATGCTTATTAGATCTGATGGCATCATGCGGTAACAAGATCTTGAGTGACCATTTTAAAAATGGTCCTAAAAATGCCACTTATCAATCAAAGACAGTGCAGAATGAGTTGATTGATATTTGTGCAGGTGTTGTTCGATCGCTATTGACAAACAGAATAAAGAAAGCAAAATTTTTTTCTATTTTAGCAGTTGAAGCTTCAGATGTTAGTCAAACTGAACAAATGTAGTTGTTCGGTATGTGGATGAATGCTGCAAAGTAAAGGAAGATTTTTTAAAATTTGTTTCCTGCAATAGTGGGTTGACTGGAGTTTTGTTATCAACTAAGATCAAGAAAAGTATACATAAACTTGGTCTGGAAATATCTTATTGTCGTGGTCAAGGTTATGATGGGGCTGGTAACATGGCAGGGCGTCTTTGTGGTGTAGCAGCATTAATTTTAAAAGATTTTCCTAAAGCTCCATACATCCACTGCTATTCCCATCAACTTAATCTGTGTGTTGCCAAAGCATGTGCGATTCCTTTAATTCGAGATATGATGGATCATGTTAGAATTGTCTCTGATTTTTTTAGTAATTCTCTAAAGAGGTTAAAAGATCTATCTACAAAAAATGTTGAGCTATGTCTGACATCATTCTTTCAAAAAACAATAAATATTTGTAGAACCAGGTGGATTGAAAGAATTGATGGTCTTGAAGCTTTTTTTGAATTATATCCAGCTATAACTGCATCTCTTACTTGTATTAAAGAAGATGAGGCATGGAACTACAAATCCAGAGGTGAAGCTTCCGCATATGTGACAATATGTTGTTCGTTTAAGTTTATCATCACCTTAATCATAGTCAGGAAGTTATTAGGGTATACAAGACCACTGACAAAAACGTTGCAAAAAGTTGATCATGACTTCTCAAAAGCTCGTGATGATGTGGAAATTTTAAACACTCTTTTATCTATTCGGAGCTCTATCGAAATTTCACACTCAGAATGGTATAAAGAAGCTGTTACCATAGCTGCAACTAATTATACCTTGCCATCTAAACCAAGAACATGTGGACAACAAACACAACGTGATAATCATCAAGTAGATGATATTAGTGAATATTATCGAGTAACTTGTTTGATTCCTTTTCTTGATCACATTCTAACACAGTTAGATTCTTTATTTTCTTTAGAAAATTTAACATTGCTAGATAGTTTCGCCATTATACCATCAAATTTAATCTCTGACAAGAAGTGGAGGAAAAAAGTAAAAGAATTCGCTCATACATACAATAATGATTTACCAAAACCAAGTTATCTTTATGCTGAATTGGATATGTGGGAAGTATACTGGAAAAATCACTCTGAAACAGCTCCTAAAACTATTTCAGATTCACTACAAAAATGTGATGGCAATACGTTTCCGAATATTTCTACTATACTTCGAATCCTTTGCACAGTACCAGTTACAACATGTACTTGTGAAAGATCATTATCAGCTCTGAAAAGAATTAAAACTTCCTTGCGCAATTCTATGACAGATGATCGCCTAAATGGCATTTCCATGTTGCACATTCATCGAGATGTTGAAATTGACTTAAATATTGTTGAAGATGAATTTGCGACTGCATTTCCACGAAGAATGGAGTTTAAAAATATATTGAACTCTGATGAATAGATATACTTGTCATAAAGTTATACTAATTACAGATAGATATAGGATATATAAATATATATATACAAAAATAGAAAGATATATAATATAGGATACTTTTATTTATTACTGATGGAATAATTAAAGAGGATATTTTTTTGATGTCATAAATATTTCATATTTATTATTAAATTTATTAATGTTATGAGGTTTTGTTAAAAAATAGTTAAGGTTTTTTACCTCTTATGACATTTTTTTTTCTTTATATTTTTGTAGTTCTATCTTCGCCATTATTTTGTTTTGGTTAGAATACTGTTGAAATATGGTTTGAATTTAGTAAATTTTCATGATATGAACTTTACTTTATTGATCATTAGCCAACAGTTTTGGATGTTGAACACAATTAAGGTAAGAATAACTTGCAATCGTTAATTGTAATGGTATTGCTATTTTATTAATGGTATTTTATTTCGAGAAGATAGTTAACCATCATTTTTGGATGGTAAATTATCATAAGATTCACCCACATTTAACATTATCTTGATAACTCGAGT